GTACGCAATGAAGGTGCATGCACATGGTGCGCTGATACGACCAGCTCACTGAGTTGATCCGCTGTATATTCATGTGGGCCCCCCACAGCAGTGCCAGGGTGGGGTGGTATGGGACCACATTCTGATGCACCCATGATGGCCGGTAGTACTGGTAGCGCAGGGTCGCAGGGTCGATGACAGGTGTGGACTCTTGGTTTGGCGCCCATGGGAACTTGTACTTGCATACACCAGATGCACAGCAGCCAGCATGGCCACCAGACAAACAGATGTGCATCTGTTTGCGCAAAACATGATGAAAAAGGTCGTGCTGGCAGGGCTCTTCAGGCTGCTGCCAGTACTCTGCCGTGTAGGGGCACAATGGATGGCTATCATCCCCACGGTACACAGCGGGCACACAGGCAACAATCTCCGATGCTACCCGGTCCACATCCTCTGGGTGCACCCACAGCACTGTGTGCATGCAGGCTGTGCCGGTTCTGAACCTCATAACACACCACCCAGTTGGTGACGCGGCCAAGGGCCCCGCCAGCCTGGACTGCCCCGCGGCCCGCCTTCAGCATGTCGGTCATGAAGGACTGCATGCACTTGTGGGCGATGAATGCATTCTCAGCTGGGGCGTCTTGCCATGTGAAGCCAGCACAGAAGCTGCAGGCAAAGTACAACAGCACAGCACAGCCGGAGCAGTGCATTCATGGGTGATGGGTGACCGCGTGGCATGCTGGGTGGGGACAGGAGGTGGACAGCGCCATGCAAGAATGCTTGCCAAGTGATGCAGATTGAAGTGTGTGCGACTTACTCCTGCAGCTTTTGCTCTACCGACTCGACTTCGGGCCAGCGTGTGGGAGACACTTCATCGGTTGTGAGTGTTCGAAGAACGACAGCATGCCAAAGCGGTCCACCATGCACAGCAAATCTTGAAGGTTGCTGCGGTGCCATGCAGGCGTGTTGGGCAACGTGGCCGGCAGCTTGTGCTTGAGAATGTGACGGATGGCGTCCTCATCACTCGCGTTAGGGTGCTGGGACTTGTAGTCGAGGAGCACACTCTCCAGCACGGCCTGTACATGCAGGCGGGCATGATGGTCATGTCATGAAGTTCTACATGCATGTTGTTGCTCGGAACCTGCAAATTGTAGCAGCTGGGTGGGCATCCCTGTCCAATATTCCAGCATGCATCATGTGCAGCATCTTTAGCATACCCACCATGCACTCACCTCTGTATTTTGCTCTTGCAGCTGGGCACTCTGGTGAAGCACATACATGAGCAGCAAGTACGGCTTTCCACACACTGAAAAGGCACTTGGCGCGGTATGCTAAGTACTTGACCAAGGTCGTGCCGCCCATAAATGCGCCAACACCAAAGGGAAACAGATAGGGGAACATGGCCATCTCCACAGACAGGCCAAACTGATAGTCCAGTGGGCTCCCGTCTGCAGCAACAGCCAGGTTGAGCTCAGGCCGAGTGGGCACCCACGGAACCAATGTTCCCGCGGTGTACATCACGGGTGCATGCTTCATGGCTGCATGCTGGATGGCAGGCACAACCACAGATATCAGCGAGTGAGCTGCCTCTGCTGTTTCCAGGGTGGCCAGCACAAGTGGTTTGCAGGCTTGCTCACTGGCAACAAACGATTGCACATCAGCTGGAGAAAGGTATGGCAACGGGTGATTGGGCGGGACTTGTTCAGCAACGGTGAGGAACTCCCTGACGAGCGGGTTGTGCTGCATGCTCCATCCCAGCACCTCCTGCAGTGCCGGGGGCAGCATGTTGACGCAGCGCGTGGAGTCGTGTGCCCAATCCAAGACCAGCGCTTCCATGCAATGCTGCTGCTGAAGCTTGCCAGCAACAAATCCAAAGGCTGCTGGAAAAAAACCAAGTCCAACATCCACTAGGCCTATCCGCAGTTGGTCGATGGCGTCCAAGGACACGATGGCCTTGGTATAGTCTGGTGGATGGAAGGCCAGATACTCTGCTCGCTCATTGCCACTGTTCACCGGATGCAATGGAGCACAGTGTGGACACAGGTGCCACAGGCCTTCGGGTGTGGTCATGCTGCCGGCATGCAAGCTGTTATGGAATGAGTATGGCGCAATGCCAGCACTGACAGGCTCCACAGTGGCCCATCACTTGAGGTCATCGTGCAGGTCGGTGCTGGTGACACCGCACACGGTGCACACCACAAGTGCACTGGCCAGCAGCACGCTTGTGACAGCACTCCAAGCCGCAAGCTGCACAGAGATGCCGAGGCTGTGGCCGGCGCCACTGCGCCAGGATGCTCCGAAGTACCCAGGAATGTGTTGCTCAGCATCTGTTACAGCAGGACTGGGTGATGGTACTTCAGATGGTCGACAGTGCTGCTGGCGTGTTGGCTGTGCAGCAGTGCTGCTGCGGCGGTGCTGCTGCTGCTGCTGCTGCTGCCCCTGCTGCTGCTCCTGCCGCTGCAGCTCCTGTGGGGGCTGCTGCTGCAGCTGTGCTTGCTGTGATGACTGCCGTGTTGCTGCAAGCAGGCGCCGCATGTCAACCGCAGGTCCGTGCTAATCAGCCCATTCCGCCAAGACCTGCTGCACAGTGAACTCACAGCGGCTGTCCATCCCATGGACAGCACACACTTTACCAGCCCGCTCAGCTGACGGTGTTTCTGACATGCAGAGGCCAACCGCGCGACAAGCCGCGACGAGATGCTGGTGGTGTTGCCCTGTCCACACACCCGGCAACATATCCAGCAGGCAGTAAGACACAGGGGTGCCAGCGAGGCCCATCTGCCGGATGAGGCACACTTCCGTTGGCACTGTGCTGGTGCCCCAATAGCAGATCTGCAGCCCATCCGGGTCAAACACTGTAAGCGCAATGTTGAGAGCATGGGCAAGAACCGCCAGCTCCACATCGCCCGGCAGCAGCCGGTGCTGCTGTAGGGCTTCTCTATATTGCACCGCCGTGCAAGTGCTGGGGAGGCTGCTGGCATGGGCATGTAGCACTTGGAAGCGCATCGAATCCCAAGACTCGGCAATGGCGCCCACCACGGTCACATCAGTGGCACGGGCACATCAGTGGCACCCGCGGCAATGAGAGCATGATGCACGCAGTCCAAACACGTTGCGTGGGCATCGAGCGGCACGACAGCACAGTTGCTAATGTTGCTGCGAGCATATAGTGGCACCGGGAGTTGCCCTGCATAGCAAACATCAGCAGTGTGCCCCGTTCTCAAGATGATGCGTGTAGACTTGGATGTAGCTGTGAGCAGTGCCTTCAGAACAGCCCTAACCGTATTTCCGCGAACTGCAGCATAGCCCGTGACACTCCACGGATCACATGCCCACATTGGCACACGCTTACCGGTGCTGCAGGATGGCTCTGCAATCCCAATGCGAACGCAGGTTGGTTGTAAATCGATTAGCATGGATGACGTGTTGGCTGTTTCGGTATCACTCATGTCGCCACACACGCAGCCATCATGTGTATGCACCACACGGACGGCTGCGGCACCATGCGGACCTTGTCGGATGGGGTATTATGCAGCAGACAGTTACACAGCCATTGTAGCTGTATATGGACACGGTTGGGCGGTTGAAATGCACCTCGTCATCCCACTTTCCACAGTCACCAGGATAGGAAATGGCATACATGTGCATATGTTACATTTCTTGGTCACTGAATAGAGGCGGACTAATGTGGGCAGGTACCAGATGAGCGGTCCTTCCATATACCACGGCCATAACCCACAAGTATGCCGCCCCTTGGTTCTCACCTTACCACGTAAACGCTGACCGAAGCCCAGAAGTGCGCCGCGTCTTCATCTGCATAGGCACAAGCATGCTTGGTTGATTCTTGAGATGCGACCCCGGTCTTTCGTACCGGATATGTTGGCGATGTTGCATAGACGCTGCAATGCAATACAATGGTCGACCCTGCCAACCAAAACTACACATGCTCAGCTGAAGATATTCCCGATGCGCCAGGCCCTCCAAAAAGTGTGCTGCCATGCGCGCGCCAGCTGCCGCACTGACAGCACCCACCGCGAAGATGTCTGCATCAGCCTGCGCCCCCGACAATCGCTGAGGCACGGGCTGCAGCGCGTTGTGAATGCAGCCGCCCGCCAACACCAGCCCGTCCCCAGAGGGCGAACCATGCTCCGCCCTCAGAAGCAGTCCCTGCTCTGCAGCCCAGGCGCGCGTGCTGGCCAACGCCTGCACCACGATGCCCAGGATGTTCCTGCTGACGAAGTCCATCACCGTGACGCCGCACAGCACATGCTTTTCGCGGCCGTATGCCGCCGACGTGGACTGCAGAATCTCGTTCGCGCGCGCGCTGGGCAACGCCACGCATTCCCGGAGCGGGAATGCCAGGGCCCAGCCATGAAGGACATGCCGCCGAATGATGTCGAAAATGGCTGCCGCGGCCACATCCCTCATCGCCGACCTCGCCTGCTGCCCATCCTCCGCGTGCACATGAGTGATGTACTGCACAGTCTCTACCTCTTCTGGGCACGCCACTGATACTACATTGGACAGCACGGCCAGCGACGTCGTGCAATTGTCCATTATGGACGCCAGCCGCGCCAGCCGCTCCAGATCTGTGTTCGCCACCGCCTGCAGCATTTCAAATAGCTTGCTCACAACTTGCAATGCGAGCGCCTCCACGACTTCCAGTATGCCGCACGGTGAATTGCGCGCTGGAAACCGCGAACGTTACTTACTGCCATTCTTGGAAGTGCTGGTTATCGTCCACACAGTAATGTGCCGAGGTGGCCGCTGGAGTGCCAGACGTCTGTCGCCGACCAACCAGGCTGTACAGTACTCCGCTAATTGTCTTTTTTTAAAGGCACAACACTTCGAATCATACAGAAATTTTATACTTTTGTGTCATGACACCTACTCGGCTTTATGTACACCCCGCGCTACTTCCAAGCCGCGCTACGTCCTGTGCCTTTTCGGGCCTCGCGTCGCTGGACGAGTCCGCGGCTACAGCACCGCCGGCCGCTCCGCCTTCCGCGACGCCCCTTCCGCCGCTTCGCCCGACCTACCATCTAGCCTTGAGGTTGCATCTTCATCAACTCCTGCACTTCACCTCCCGCATTGCAACTCCTCACCGCTACGATCGCTGTTGCCGCGGTTGCCGGCAGTTGCCGGCAGTTGCCGGCGGTTGCCGCCTCGCCGGCAGTTCTTTGGAACTGTTCGCCTTTGCCAACCGGCGCACAGCCGGATTGCGCTTTGCGCTTTTTCGCATGCACCGTATCTACATGCCGGCGAGGCATCGTTCTCGTCCGCGTGTGCTTCATTGTGAATGGTCTGGTTCTGCTCTGGATCGCTAACATTGCGAGGAGCGTTCGTGTGCCCAGACCGCGCTGGCCAGCCGGGGCTCTTCCTTCGGCCGCGAGTAACTCTCGCGCTTCGTAAAGAGGCCCCTTTCCAAACAATTTCTCACGTCTTTACAGTTGCGCAACGCCGTCAGCACCATGTCCCCAGTGCCGTCTCCTCACCACCTAACGCACTTTACTTCATTTCATACATTACACACCAATCCTGTCCGAACTCGCGTTCACAACCGTGCGGGCAACCTGCACGCCGCTCCTGGCTTGCGACAGCTTTATGTTGTGCTCGGCGCAACGCGCCGCTTTCACATTTCAGGATGACCACCCATGTCCATGGCGCTTTATTCATTTCCGCATACAACTTGTCCCAGCGCCCCACCCGTTACCGTTGCTGCCGTCGCCCATGCTCGCCATGCGAAGACGTACTGACCGCCCTGATTCAGCCCGCCCCCTTGAAGCGTCCATTTATACATGTCGCGACATGTATAAATGCCAGCCTGTGTCGCCTACTTTTTCATACATTTTCCTGTTTCCATTTTTTGGCTTATTGACCGAACTCCCCTTTGCGGACGGCAGCCAGCCAGACTTTCGCTTCGCTGACACCTGCTCTGCTGTTGTAACCTCGCACAACATGCCTCCGAAAATGGCACGCCAATCACAAGTCCCACCTCAGACCCTTTCGCCCACCAACTTGGGCGCTTACGGCACGCCTTCGCCGAGCCTGCCGGCGGGCTCTTCCGCCGGCGCCGCAGCCAAGCCACCCGTCAACATAGCTGACCTGTGGGCGCAGCTAGCAGCGGCGTCGCCAACCGGCGGAGGCCGCGATCGCTCCTCGCCGGCCGGGGTGCCGAGACGGCCGCTCACCTTCAAGTAAGCGCCTCATCTTCCGGTACTAGTAGCCGCCTTGCCGCGCCGCACCCTACCAAACATTCCGCATGCCATCCCTGCTGTGCACCCACGCTCCTCTCCGGCTGTCCCATGCATCCACCATCTTGAGACGGCCTGCTGCTGCCCCTCGTACCGTCAGGCAGCAACTGCTCTTGGGAAGCATGTGATGTCACGACGAGGACGTCCTGCGCGCAAACCACACCAACGCTGAGTTTAACGTGCTCCTGGCCGAGGGCCGAAAGTACAGGGACGACTTCCAGGCGCAGCACGGCGCCAAGCCCGCCAGCAGTAAGTCGTCCTACCTTGCTGCCCATTGCTCACTTGCGCCAGCCGCCGTCCCCCGTGCCCGCTTTCCAACTGCCCGGCCATGTGGCCACAGCATCCTTATGTCACGCCCCGCCCCTGCATGCCTCCACTTCCGCCCCGCCATCCCGCCAAACTCACATCCACCCTCCCTCCCTCCATGCCCGTGCAGCGTTCTTGTACAACGTGACGGCAGAAATACACGAGGGCGACATGCCGGACAAAGCGACGGCAACGCACACGACAATCATGCAGCTGTGGATCGCGGCTGCCGGCAGCCTGCGTGTGGATACCGCCATTGCGCTGATCTATGATTACGGCATGGATGCCGGCACCGTCCTCAAAGCGGACCAAGACTTCGCGCTCTCGGTGCTGACGGCCGCGCAGCAGGCGCGAGCGTCGGGCGCCCTCCTGGCCACAACCACGCCAGCCAAGCGAGCCGCAACCAGCCCTGCCGAGCCACATTCCAGTGCCCCCGCCCGCACGTGACTATATACCATCACGTGCGCACCGACCGGCAGGGTATACGTCGGCCAGTCCCGGGACCCTCAACGGCGCTTCCAAGCTCATGCCCGCAACCCACCCAGCCGGATGAAGGACGACGCCCGCTGCTACCAACCCTTCCGAGACCACTTCACCCTCACACGCCTCATGTCCACCGCCAATCCTGCTCTGGCCCAAAAGATGGAGGCCCTCTACATCGCGCAGTTCAAGGCCCGGGGGCCGGGCGGCTACAATGTGCTGCATGGGCCGCCTTCTGCCAGCCCGGCCTTCTACGCGATGAGCCGGCAACGCGCCGGCAGCACCCACACGCCCACCGCCGTCACAGTCCAAGACGATGACGCCCCAGCCACGCTTGCCTAGCCCACACAGCAACTGGACACCTAACGCTTGACGGATAGGGTCCCATGATTTCGACGCTAGGCTTCTGGACATTGAGCAGTGGCTGTTGTATTTGGGCACGATCGCACTTAGGGTTTCATTCACGTTGCATACATGTCCAACCTTAACTCGTGTGTGAACGGCGGCTGCTGCCCATACGGACAACAGCGCTTGGGATGGTCTATTGTGTGAGCGTTGGGGGAAGGGGGGGGCCCGCTGCGCTCCTTTCTATATCCGCTCGTCGCGTGCTCGGGTGCAAGTTGGTAGCGTGCGAGTTCACCCATCATGTTGCATGTTCTGGCATGGCCATCCACGCGCGACATGGAACTTGTACCTAGGCCTTATTCTTCGTTCCTACATCATAGCAAAGGGCCAACGCGACGTGGCCTGTGCACGCGCTGTTGCTGTGGTGCTGTTCTTGTTCTTGTTGTGGTTGCTGATGTTCTTGCATACGCGCGCGCGACGACATGACTGCATGTACATTGCGCCGTGCGCCACACGCCCTGTAAGCAGCTTCGACTAAACAGCTTCGACACTAATCTCACATTCCAATATGCCACTGCACTTTCCTCTCCAGCCTGGCCACATTCTCTTCCTCGCAAACATACTTGGGCACCTTACAATCCAACACCATACGTGCTTTGGATACGCGGGCAGCTGCTTCACAAGGACCCCCCTCTTTATATGGCAAACGCATGCCTGGAATCTGGTTTTGACTTTCCGCCGTACAGCAAACGCGGAAATGCGGATTCTCTTTTCGCACTTCCGCCAATCTGGGCTTTGCTGCGGAAAGCGTGACGAAACCTATTTCCGCAGGTTTCCGTTTCCGAAGGTTTCCGTATCGGCTCGTTCCCTGTGTTCCAAGTTTCGAATTTTCACCATGGTACAGCGTTCTTTAGACATCGCTCCCTACACCCTTCCATACATCCCTTCATCCCGTGATGACAATGAAAGTGCTCCCGGCCTGGCGTCTCGTGAGCTCACAAGCGAATTGGAGTGCCCCCCGGGGTCTTACATCGTTTCTTCCTCCATCCATCCTTCCCCTCACCCCACACCCCATGGAGGCCTCCAAATCCCTTCACTCCGCCTTTTCTACCCGGCAGCGCGGGGCCCCCCTACACACACACTCCCTCTCTTACACACACACACACACACACACACACATACACACACTCGCATCAACACACGTACTGGCCAGTTCTGCAGCGCAGCGCGTGCAGCCGCGTGGCCATCCCCATGTGTTGCCGCTCCTCCTCTCCAAGCTCGGCTGCTCTCTGCCCACCCTCCTGTCTCTCTCCCCTCTCTGTATCTCTCCGCCTCTCTTTCCTTCCTGATTTTCCCCTTCACCAACGCCACAACACGTCGCGAGGGAAGAGTCCACACCGGCACATGGCCACAGATGGAACTGCCCGCGTTATGGCGGGTGTGCGGGCGCTAGCGAGATTCCTGCTGCTGCTGCTGCTGCTGCTGGCGACGCTGGTGTTGCCGATGTCTGCCTGTTTGTTGCTGCCCTACCAGGTGCTACCAGATCCGTGCGCCTTTCGGTGCTCTGCGTGTGCCCGCCGGTGTGAACCCCTTAACGTGCGTGTCGTACAGAAACCCAAACCGCGTCACCGTGTCGCACCTCCAGGGCCCCCCCCCATCTCCTTGAGGCCGCCGACTCCCCGACGAACCCTCCCCCTCCCCCTCCCCCTCCCCCGGGCCCCAACAACAACGACATCAAGAACAACAGCTTTGAACCGACAACAAAAAACCCTAGAGGCTCAACCACCTCTCTAAACCCCCTCACTCTCACATTCACTCTCTCACGCACACACACGCACAAATATACATATATACATACAGCTCCCTCACGGGGCCGCCAGCAGCCTATCCACCAGCTCCTCGTACTGGGCCCACTTGGGCACCTGGGACGTCCATTCGCGCGGGAGACAGGACATGCCGCCCTGCAGCGCACACAGATTGGGGAGGGGAAGAGGGGGGAAAAAGACGAACCACGCGAGCGAGTGAAGCTGCTGCCAAGAAGAAATTAGTGGTGCGACAGATGTACAGGACGGTAGCAGAACTGACCAGTCGGCGGTGGGGGGAGCGGGCTAGTGTTTGGGATGGGGGGGAGCGAGCAACGGAAAGCACTCCAGGCCGTGGACGTAACCCCGGAAGCACAATCTAAATAGAAGATGGGCCTGCCGTATCCACTTAACACCAACCACCAACTGTCAACCGCAAACCACTACTAATCACATCAACTGTAAAAGACGCACCTCCGCCGCCAGCAGCGCGCCGATCAGCAAACTGCGCGAGCAGTTGTCGCCGCCCGCCAGCATGTTCGCCCGTACGGCATCCACGTAGCTGTTGCCGTACTGTGCCGCCGCCATGGCGACGTTGGTAAAGGCGGCGGGGTTGCCGCACGCCGGGCCGTTACACCAGACGGCCAGGGCGAAGGGCGACAGACTGTCACGAAGTGCCATGTGTTTGGACACCATCTCGACCATGTACGGCACGGGCTCGTACGTCAGCTCTGCGAAGGGGAACAATCGGGCGCATGCAAAACACAGACACGCGCGGGGGAGGTGGAGGGGGGTGATTTTAGCTTTTGTAGATGTGGGGTCGAAAGTTCATTTGCCGAGGGAAGGACTGCACTCGCTACTGCTGGAGGTAGGGAAATGATGATAGCATGTTGAAAACAAACTATTGCACATACATTCTTCCGTCAGTATGATTACAGTACAATATATATCGTTTTTTAACAACTTTACTTTTTATATTCTTTTTCTTCCTCTTCTTTTATCATCGTCACAACATATCCGAAAACTCCCTCTCCTCGCACCACCAACCCCCCGGCTAACATCCCATCACCACCGCCACCGCCACTACACCCACCCACCCACCCACCCCGGAGCGGCTGCGTCCTGGTCGCCAGCGCTCGCTCCACCAGCGCCCCCATGTCGGGTTGCAGGCCCCCCTCGCCCACGGCCCAGGACAGCGCCTCCGATACGGACTGGCCCTGCAGTGCACATCAAGACCCCCCACCACGGGGGCAACACAGGGGGGAGTGGAGGGGGTGAGAGAGACAGAAAGAAATTGGTGTGGGGGAAACATACATACATGTGCATATGTCCATGTGGGATGGATATATAGGTGTATGTCTGTCAGTCAGTCAGGAAGGGAAAGCACCTATCGATGTGTCCAAACTGCAGTTGAGGACCGCAGGAAGCCCAAGCTACCGAGGGCTTTTTCCTTGTCTCGCACCAGTGGTGTACCAGTAGGGTTCGTGTGGCCGGGGGCGAGAGGGGAACCATGCCATGTACATGAAACATAGCATTGAGTGCCGGGCGGCGTGGGGCCCACATTGGGGGGGAGGGGGAGGTGTGCGAGGAGGAGGGGGAGGACGAATCACGTGAGCGAGTGAAGGTGCTGCCAAGGGAGGTGGGGGTGGGGGTGGGGGGAGCGGCCCCGGCTCCCTCTTCCCGGGTTGGACCGTTCGACGCACCTAGGGAAGCAACAGCTGGCGCTACTGCTGCTGAAATGTTGGCACTACTGCTGCTGCTGCTGGCACTACTGCTGCTGCTGCTGGCACTACTGCTGCTGCTGCTGGCACTACTGCTGAACTGCTCTTGCTATTGCTGAACTGCTGCTGCTAGGGGGAAAACCCAGACAGGCCGTACAAGAAGGCCGTACGCATGCACACACCGCTAAACCCTCCTCCTCCCCTTTCCGACCCCCGGGGGGTTCGTGACCTACCAGAACCACCTTCTCCAGCAGCAACGCCCCCGCCATGCCGTACGCAACCGCTTGGTCGTTATTCTGTTGGACCCGTACGGCCGCCTCCATCTTCTCCCTCAGCTCAGGCTTCCCCGCATAGCGCGCCACCAGCAGACTCGCCTGCCGGGGTGTATGTGTGTATGTGTGAAAAGGGGTTTGACTTTGTGGAGGGATTTGGCGCAGGGGGACGGCTCGCCTGCTCCAAATCCTAAACCTTTGACCAGAATTTATTTGTTTATTTGGCAACATGCAGCACATACAGTCTTCATCTAAAACATTAGTTGAGCCTGATTCGTTTTATTCTTTTTTAAGAGGTTTTAGGGTTTTAGGGTTGTGAGTGGGGTTGGCAGCCGAGGGGTAGGGACGTGTGATGTGTTTTGCCTGCGCGTAAGGGTTAGCGCCCTCAGCGGGGCGCCTGCCAGTGGGGGCCCCTCGTCCCCCCTCCTTCACCCCCTCCAGTACGTTAGTCGTCCGGCCCTTCGGAACAATTACCGCCAATACGCCGTTGCCGTACCCGTGCCGTACTACCACACTCTTCTCCTGTTACCTTTGCAAAGCAGTTGGCCTGGAAGTCATCTTTGTCGCCGAGCTCCTTGCCCCTCTTCCCCTCCTCCCAGCCCGCCACGATGCTCCGTACACTCCGGTTGCGGTATGCGTCTGGCTCCTCCGCCGTAAAATAGCCGTACATGGCCTATGTACGGAAAGGAAAAGAAAGGCGGTGGGATATACGCAGGTACTTAAGTATCGGATATTCTAGCTTAGAATATCGTTATATATATACATATGCATATGTAACGATGTGCGATTACAACCCATGGGTGCCCCAATGGACAGCTGGGGGCCAACGCCCCCTCGCGAGAGAGGATTGGGAACCCAACACAACAATCGCTATGCCGTATGCCGCCGTACTAATACCGTACACCGGATTTGAGGCCTTCCCGTCCCCCGGTCGATACACCGGCAGCCACAGGGGCCCCGCCCGCTCGTCCGTGCACCCACCTCGCCGTACTTATTCTCGTCCAGCTCCCCTCCGTTCTCCGCCATACTCCGCAACAGTGGAATGAGCTCGTGACCGTACGGACTGAGGCTGCCGTACGGGTGCTGTGGGGTGGCAGGGTTGCGGCGGGACTTATGTTTCGGGGGAGGGGAGTTACGTTTCTGGACCTTTTTCCTTCTTTAGTGTTCTTTTGAATACTCATTTTCTTCTTCATACGACAACATTCATGTGGGGGGCTGGGCTTTTGAGTTCTGGCTGCGCTGGTTACGCTTCGGCTGGTGGTTCTAAACAGGTAGGCTCCGAGCCTAGGGCCCGGGGCCACAGGGGGGCTCCCCCGCATCCGCCCTACCAGGGAGGGGGCGTTCGCACCTCGTCCTTTGTGGCCCTTTCCCCCCCCTCACCCCTCACTTCGTTACCTCCAGGTACCTTCACCTCCCTCCTGGACTGCCACCCCCCCCCTTCCATCCCCGTCCAAACCCATACCCTCCCCGGCCATTTCCCGCCCGCTTCCCGCCCCCCTTCCCCCCCCGGCTCTCTCTCTCGCTACCTACCTACCTACCTGCCTACATGCCTACATGCCTACCTTGTAAAAGGGGCAGGAAGGTTCTGGAAAGAACTCCGGCGTGGCCTCCCTGGACTTGCTGGCCAGTAGGTCCTGGATCTTGGGGACGTCGTAGATCCCTGGGGGTGGTTGGTTGAGGGAGGAAAGGAGGGGGGTTCAGGTGCGCCAACTGACGTCCAAAGAAAGCACACTGCCAAAGGAATTTGAAGAGAGGGGACAAGGGAGCAGGGAGAGGGGAGCACCTAGCCACGGTGATGATAATTGGTGATGATGGAAGGGCAGGAGGAGGAGCAGGAGGTGGAGGAGGGCGAGGAGGTGATATGAGGTGATGATAGTCGCATAGGGCGGCCTTATGAGCGGTCCAACTCCGCTAACGCAGCAATCCACAAACCCCCGCAAACCCCAAAATCTACTTGTCTGACTTTTTATACCATGCTTACTAACCACTCTTTGCTTTGTATCGTAACTGATTGTAACTGACACGAGGGCGAGATAGTTTCTGCATTTTGGTATAGACAACATAATTATTGGCTGGAGCTGGAGGAGCTGGAAAAAAACCTTTGATTATCTGGAGTGGAGCGGGGCATGTGTAATGGATATTTGGGAGGGCTTGAGGTGGTTGAATAGGTTTAGATCGACGGCTATACTGCTTTACTACGGGGGAGATGGTTCCGTGAAGCACCAGCTGGAGGCAGGGCAGCAGGGATGGGGGTGGCTGCGTGTGAAAGGTGCCAGAGTCTACGACGTCTTTAGAAACTCACAGTGGAGGGGCATGCTTGCCGCGTCTGCAAGCAAGCCGCCCAAGATAGCGGCCTTGGCGCGCTCCTTCACGTTAGCCTTGTCCGCCATGGTTGTAGCTGGCGCAGCCATAGGCGCGGCAGCGTACAATTTCGCCTGGGATTGGGCATTATGGGGTTGGAGGCCTGTGACTGTCAGTGATTATAGCTTAAGTAATTCCATATTAGAGTCCGCTTAGAGCGTCTGACGTTTCTTGCCTTTGATGCACGGGTGGTTCTTTTGAGCGGCCGGAGGACCTGGTGGCCAGAGAGGGAGCGCAGAGCCATGCAAAAATGTCGCGATGATCACTGACGCGTTGTTACTATGAGCTCAAACAGAACTTGACTACGCTCGGAAAATTAGACAGCTGTCATATGCCTACTATCATATGTGCTCGCTTGCTCCAGAGCCTTGGTAACAGGTACGGTCCACGAGAGACGGACACGCCATCAACCTTACACCTTACTAGGAGACTACTTGAATAAGTGTTTTTCTGTTATAATTTCCATTCGTTGCGGAGGTTTGATGTTTTGCAGTCCACTGTAACACCTACGCCCAGTTTCGCAAGAAGTTTAGCACTGCAGCTCAGCTAGAGGAGGAGGAGAAAACCTAACAATTTGTCCTTGCAGTTCTGCTATTTCTATCTTTCTCGCTAGGAAATGGCATCAGCTTACAGGACCCACCATGGCGTGTTCGACGTGGAGAAAGGTGGAGTGATAAATGCTTTTGCGGAACGAACTATTCGGCAGGGCTTCGTGCGTAAGGTTTTTGGTAAGCATCTCTTACGGTTGTTTCACGTTGTGTTGTCAGCTTAGGCGCCTGTTGTGGAAACCTCTGTAGAATCAGAGAACCGGGCCCCAAACCAAATGTGCGAGATGCGCCTTGAGATGTAAAGCCAGTACAGGAAATTATTGGATAAATGAAGGCCTGGGCGCTTTTCAATCGAACGTAACATAGCATTTTCTTGTGTATGCGTTCTGACCTAACTCCGGCTTCCCCTGACCGTTTTCTTTATGCGTTAAACAGTTTCTCTTAAAAGTCGTCACAAATAGTATTTGCTTGAGACTGACGCGTGTCCTCACAGACTTTGATAAGTGGCAGCACATGAGCATAGATAGTTCCGGTGAAGCTGCGATTGATAATATAACTGGACCGCTTGCGGGACTGTCAGCTGCCTCCTTTTGCCCCATTCCTTAACCCCTCCTCATCCCCTCTCACCCTTATCACTACAGGCCTCCTCGCCGCTCAGCTGGCCCTGACCACCGCCATCGCCAGCTTCTTCGTTTTCTCCCCTACCGTGAAGACCTACCTTGTTGCCAACCCCTGGATCCTGCTCGTCTCCCTGATCGCCTCCTTTGGCATCATCCTCACCTTCACCTTCTCCTCCTCTGCCCGCCAGTCGCACCCTCTCAACCTAATCCTCCTCTTCGCATTCACAGCCGCGGAGGGCGTCTTAGTGGGAGCCGCCAGCTCCCATGCCCGCACCGACGCCGTGGTTCTAGCTTTTGGCCTGACTGCCGGCATCACCGCCGCCATGGCGATCTGGGCCTTGACCACTAAGCACGACATTACCACCAGCGGCTCTGCGCTGTATGCAGGTCTTCTAGGCCTTATCTTTGCCGGCTTGGTTGGATTCTTTGTCCAGACAACGGCATTCAACATTGCAGTGTCGGGCATTGGAGCTGTGCTGTTCAGGTTGGTACCTGCTTTCGGGGCCTTATGGACGATCCCTAGGTAGTGGGGTGGAGTTGGGGTGTTGGTGTTACTGCACCGGAGGCTGCTGCTGGGTTGATGGCTGGCGCAGGAGGAAGGCTGTAAGTGGCTGCACAGCACTGGTCCAGTTCTCGTGACTGTTAATCTGCTTGTGTTCGCTGTTCTCACCAAACCCACCAAATCTCCCGCCCTCTTCCCCTTCTCGGAGTTTTGTAAAACCCAAATTTCTCCCTCCCTCCTGCTCCTCTTCCACGGCCCTTCCGTACGCCAGCATCTACATTGCGTACGACGTGCAGTGCCTGCTGGGAGGTGATCACAAGTACGCCGTATCACCCGACGAGTACGTGATGGGAGCTATCGCCATTTACCTGGATGTCATCAACCTCTTCATGCACATCCTGAGACTGCTCAGCAGCAATCGCGGCTAGGTGGCCAGCGGTGGTGACTTGGTGATTTGCTAACGACCTTAATAATGACTCAACGACTCAAGTTCTCTCTGAAAAGTGGACTGCGGGAGGAGGTAGATTGCCCGGCGCAGTCTTGGAGTACATGGATGGTGTGCGCCTGTATGCTGCGGGGCTTGGGTGGCATTTTTGATGTGGAAGGATGCGGTCCATGTAGCCCTTGTCACCAACCGAATGGCGGCCGACGGAATAAAGGGGAACGGCCAGCCGAATGGTGGTGGTTGCCCCAGAATAGGCGAAGAACTTATCGCCCAATTGTAAGAGGTATGAAGTCGGAGTTGCGAGGTCCTTTATAAAAAATCTTCCTGCTTCCGTATGTGTGATAAGTGTGGCAACTTGTGTTTACGTTGCTACAGAGCTCATCCAGGGTGGCTTACGATTTGCGCTTAGCTTTGGCGACCGGTTTCAGGATGTAGCAGTAGCCTCACACACACTGACGTGGATCCTGAGTGTTTCCAGCTCTGCGGCTCGTGGACGCATTCCCACTGCGTTGCCTTGTGAAGCTTGTAACACGACTTGACGTCAAACGTACATCAGTAGCCCCAAATCAAGTTGTCATATCCTCAAAAATGTGATAGAGCTGGACATACGGACTGGAACTCGCTCAAGGAGGGGCCTATTTGTGCCAACTATCGCTGATATACCGTTCTCGTCTATCAGCTCCCTCCAACTTATGCAAGCAGTACTGCGGTAGTCTTGCATCCGGTTAGCATCTATCGGCGTCTTAAATCAAGCTTGGGGAAGAGCTGTTACTTCAGGACAACTACTGGAGGACGGTGCCATTGTCCTCTGAGGGCAACAGTTTTACATGGCTTCGGAGCTAATCGTGTCCAGAAAAATTACGCGCTCTGCGTTGTGCGAATAGCGCTGCAACGCGATGCTTGCTCATCGCCAACACGCTCCAGTATCAGCGCGTAGGAACCAGGCTTGTCCTGTCCGTCGTCGCGTCGTCAGCCGCACCATGGCAACCATTCAGCGCTTTGACACAGGTCCTCGCCTGAGCGAGATGGTTATCCATAACGGGACTGTATACCTAGCAGGCCAGGTATGTGTGCTCCCACTACATCACGATGGATTAGAAGACAGGATTTTGGCGACCAATTGGACAACCGAAACAGCTGTTGGACATTAGGGTGGATGGATCGGCATGCGGTATTACTTGTAGGTACCTGAGGACACTAGCGTAGATGCCAAGGAGCAGACTGCCTCGGTCCTCAAGCAAATTGATGAGTTGCTTGCCCGGGCAGGGACCGACAAGACCAAGATCTTGTCAGCTCAGGCAAGTCTTCTTCATAAAACTCCTTGCAGTGCTAACACCTACCTAAGCATAACAGGTCTTCCCGGCGATTGACATACCCCTTGCCCACTGGCAAGCAGCGCCCCCGCACTCCCCGTCCGCTATGTGCGCATGGCCACTGTACGCAGAAGGCGCTGCTGTTGCAACGCGCATACTTACAATCAACGCCTTGAACACTGCCGCCATGTGGCCCTTGCAATAGCTGCAGGGCGACCGCGACGGGTGGTCCGCCCGCGTTGTCCGGTCGCGAGACAACTTGGGGAAATGCGATTTGTATTATTATGTTATCCCGCAACTCCAATGCACGCCAAATCCTTATTACCGGTCAACTAAGCAACACTGGTCACTAACTTTTGATGAAGTTTCGCCTCCTTTACTGCGCTTTATGATTCCCAGGTTTTCCTGCGGGACCTGGCGGACTTTCCCCAGATGAATGAGGCATGGGACGCCTGGGTCCCTGCGGAGCATGCTCCCACTCGCGCCACCGTGGAAGCCAAGCTGGCCGACCCGGGCTGGAAGGTGAGTGCGGTGATGCCGTCGTAACGTGCCGTACTGTGTGTGATCTGATAGGCTAACATTGTAGGCAACCGTCGAACCCCCTGTAAGTCAAAAAACAGGGAAAAAGCTCGCAAGGAACCTTCTGGAACCTTTTACTTAGGATCCAGTCGCTTGTGCAACTTGTGCAAATTCCTATCACTGTCGCTTATCGTCGTCCATCCGCGCATTTATACCTCCGGTCGGCCCTATTTGTCTTCCTTTGCGTGTGGCTTGTCTGGTCTGCAGGTGGAGATTGTGGTTGTTGCTGCGCTCTGAAAGCTGTTGTGTGAGACGCTGGTAGCCGTTGAGATGTGTATGACGGCTTTGGGGGCGCCCGCCGTGCGCCTTGGGTCATAACCAAGGAAGCCCTTGCGGCACCATATGACGTGTACGTTGCAGCGATCGCGGTTGTAGGATGAGGGGGGTGGGAGTGCGAGCCACGCTGGTTCCCTGTAACCAAATGTCAACTCAATTCGTCTCAGCTATTGCATTGTTCAAAGTGAATGCATGCCAATCTCTGGCTACATGCATACATCCATGCCTATACCCATGCCATCACATCAAAAACAACACGATATCTGGATCCCTCCTGGATCCCGTATCCACCAACCGAACGCACACACAGCAAAGCCAGGGAAGCAACGCACTGACCGCCGCCAAGGGTGCGCCCTGACCAACACCCCGTGCCCATCCCCCATAGACCTAGCCCATACAGCCCCTCACATTCGATCCCGGTTTCTGTCCCCCCAGTAAGCTGTCTTCCCTTGCTGCTACCGCTGCCATTGCTGCGCCCTTTTCTATCATCTCTCAACCGGTCACGGCGGCCTTCCGGCCCGATGCCACAACGCTGCAGCACACCCTAAAAGCCCTACAGCTCCACCACGCTCCACTACCGCAGCGGCCTAGACATTAGTGGTGGTGTCAAAATTAAAGCAGTGCCAGGACAGCAAGGTCAGCATCAATGACATGGGCTCCTCCTACCTTGGCAGCAAATGAACTGCTGTCCCACCATCATCAACACGACCCGATCAAACAGCCAATATGCCTACCGCGCCTCTTGCATCTCATTCATGGACGCACGCGCAGGTCCACAACTCCATCTAAAGAACGCAAACACATTACGCAAACACGGCTCTTGTCGCAGAGCCCAATTCAATCCGGTTTAGCTGCTGCTGCCACTGCACTCCATTCCCCCAGCTTTGGTGCCCCAGCGCTTGGCTCATAAAACGGAGTGCATAAAAAAATGGGAAGACATTGCATCATTCAGTTGGTTAGTTGAATGTCCTGTTTGGGCGATATCCTCTGGTCAGGTTTCTGCATGTCCTGGTTCATTCATGAAGTACTTCCCTGTCCACACCATCAAATAACAATACAATTTCCTGCCTACCGGTTTTGTCAGCGAAGTAAAGTAAGTTCGTTGCAGTCAGTTTCCCGTCATGACGAGCACAAGGTGTGTCAGGTAGTAAAGCGGCACCACCACGTTATCCAGCTGCTGAGTAACCGCTTCCAGCAAAGCCACGCTACCGGTCACCACCGCAAGCGCAACCCACATGTACCAGGACAGCGCCCACCGCACATCCATCCACCACACCACCACGGCCCAGCTACCCAGCATCGCCGCGGCACCGCTCAGCGTCCCCTCCCATGTCTTCTTGCCGCGCAGGAACAGCCGGCGGCGGCCCAGCAAGAACCCCACGCACGCCGCCGCAGTGTCGCCACTTCCCAGCGATACGAGGCCGCTCAGACCTAACACCGTCCGGCAGCTCGGTAGCAGCCGTGCCGCCGCTGCCGACAGCGGCGGCGGCGACAGCGGCGAACCATGCGACGGCATAGGCTCCGCCGCCTCGCTACCGTACAAACCCGCCATCATCGCGCCTGCGGCAGCGCCACAAACAGAATCTCCCAGCCACGCCGGCACCGCGATGCCCAGCAGCAGCGTGAAGTGGGTTACGTACACGGGCCCCGAGTCGCGCGCGTCAGCAAAGTCCGCCATGAAGCTGCCAATAGCGCGGCGCAGCCCCATAGGCCCCAGGCAACGCAACATCTCCAAAAACACCAGCACCGCACCTGCCACAGCCAGCGACGCCTGCAGCATGCGGACGTCCCAGCCAAACGCCGGCAGGAACAGCACAATTGCTAAAAGGTGGTAGCCCTTGCGCATGACGATGTGTGGCACGCGCAGGACACGGAACAGAACCGCCAGAAGAACCGACCGCCGCCGCCGCCATCGCCCTTGCTGCTGTTGCTCAGGTCCCGGACAGAGCGAGCCTACATTGGCCGCTGTCACAGTCGCGGCGGGCCCACTTAATCGGGGTGACCCGCTGAGGCTTCCAGGTTGTCGTTGTTGCTCACAGACGATGGAGCCGCGGCTAGGCCTCCGGCCGTTGCACCGGTCGACTGCCGCGTCCGTCTGCCCAAGCCCCGTCCCCACCAGCCCACGGCCGCAAGGCCGCCCTGCTGCCACAGGATCAGTTTGCACCATCGGTATCGCGGGTTTCCCTTGCTCAACCTCATCACCCTCCTGCTGCCGCTCCAGCTGCTGTGGTAAGGTTAACTTCAGCCCGACGCCGTGCTCCACCTGCTCCACCTTGTGATTCTGTAATTGCTGGTGTTGCTGCTCTTCCTGCTCCTGGCCCCGGGCTGCGCTAGCCAATGACACCACGTACATGAACGGCACCGCTACCGCCAAGCAACCGAACCAGTAGGCCAATGTGGCCAGCCGCGGCCGCGAAGATGCGGCCACGAACCGGCCCAGCACCCACAGCGCGAGATCCGTCAGCATGGCGAAGGACAGCACGGCGCCCCCTCCAGCAGCGGCGCGGATGCCTGTCGCCACGACCCGGTCCAGCGTGTCGCCATCCATGCCATCGCTGGCGGCCATGCGTCGCACTTGCAACCCAGATGATGCGGCATCTACAGGTACTAACCCTTCACAACCCGCGTCTACATTGCTACAACTAGCAGCTGCCCGGCGCAGTCGGAGAGTCGCGGCTGCTGGGGCGCCGACGGTTCCCTTCGGTAGCACCCCTGATGCGGCATTCCAAACTGGTGGCAACGCCGTCGACGATGAGGCGGACTCTTGCGCCATGCAGCTGCGCTCGTTGCTCGTGCCCCGCTCGCCGAGCAACGCGGCGGCGCTGCACACTGCCATCATGACCACCCAGAACAGCACCAGCATACAGAACGCCGGCACATGCATGCCCGGGTCTGGCTCTACCAGCTGTACCACGTGGGGCGACCAGAGCACGTGCAGCAGGCCCTGCCGACTTGCCCCCGCCAAATAGGCGCAGCTGCCGGCTGCCAGCGCCAGCAGCCCCTGAACCAGAATGCCGACCTCGCCGGGGGTAAAGCTGCGCGGCAGGGCTGCGGCTATGTGGTCCAAGAAGGGGACGGTGGCGAGCAGCAAGGCGCCCTGGAGCGCCCAGGCTGAGGCGGTGATGTCGTGCGGCAGCTCGAAGACGCTGCCTGGTAGGAGTAGCTGTGGGCTGGACGGTGGTGGCGGTTTTGCAGCGTGGAGCAGCGCGTTTGCGGCGGACAGTAGGCAGCCGATTATGGTCGCAGCAAGGAAAAGCCGCCGGGCAACAGGGGAGCCGGGGAGCGGCGGGGATTTGGCCCTGGCACCCGCAGGGTCAGGTGGCCTCAGGGTCGTTGTGGCGCCTAGCTGCGGTGCTTCGGGGACTGAAGGCGTCGCCGAGCCCGTGGCGTTGGTTTGGGTCAGTGATTCCTTCGCATCGCTATGTGCAGCATTTGGCTTGCTGGCCCTATCCGCGTCGCTGGTGGCAGAGGCAGTCCATGCAAGCCAACACAGGACTTGAAAGGATGATGTCAAGAATAACCGAGCCGCCTGTTGCCACCACCCTGGAGCAGTCGGAACGAGTGAATTATGGTAGGGAAGAGGGGCCCTTTAGTTGCAGCGCTTCATGGGAACCCGGCAGCCAAGCTAGAGGACAGGGTTTTGACTCACATGAGCGGGTCGCCACAAACACGGACGTCGCCAGGCTTGGAAGCACAAGGAGGCCCTGCGCGAGTCCTGCTTGGCCACATGCTCGGAAGACGTAAAGAGGATGATCTGCAGGACACCAACGCATGGCCCAAATTGCGCGATGGAATGCCCAGAGCTGTTATGTCCATCAAAGTCTAGGCCTTTACCTTGGAACCATGACGGCCCGCACCAATCCAAAATCGAGGCTAAGACAGCCAACATAGCCATGCAAAACACATGGACTGCTGCTCCTGGCCCTGCATACATCCACAAGGAGTCAGGAGCTAACCTAGAAGGAATCGGGGCCATGATATTGAGCAATTGGCATGGCCAGCAATCATTGGCTGCTGGCAGAAGCCCCAACACGGCGACAAACCTCTCTGACCCTGCAGCGCCGGCCCAAGCAGAGCCATACCCAGGCGGACGAGGGATGCCGCCTGGAGCACGGCCTCAACATTTTGCGGACTCCACATCCGTCTCGAAAATGACGATCAGCCTTCGCCTTGTTCATGGCTAATTTGCCGACCTTTGACGAATTATCCCAGTCATCGCGATTAGGATTCATACATAGCGGAATAAAGAGTTTGCGGGATTATTCCCGAGCACCCTGTATGAAGTTGGTTGACCAGTCGTTGTACATCGAAAGACCAAGAAGCGAAAGCCCGCGTAGCTTAGAAATGTTGCATCAGTATTTACTACGTTAACATACATGCACCGCAAGCCATGTCGGAGCAAGCCATGTACCGGTTAATTCATATTTCCCTATCCATGTAGAAGTGTCCTGGCCGAAAAGCTTAGATACAAGCATAAAGCAAACATCCACGTTATATATTCAGCTCGATGCAGGCCGACCTTGCTGGCTTCCATGCCAGGCCGACCTTCAAACGGACCCGCAACAACTGTCTTCGCCATGCCCATCGCAAGCCTCCGTTCGCACGTCCCGTGGCATTCGGGTCTCCAATCCAGCCGTTAGACCGCAGCAGTCTATGGACCAGCTCGGCACTTTGGACCGTTGAAAGCGTCCTTGTGAACTTGCGGCGCAAGCGGTTTGAGCCCAAGACCGTGGAGCGCGTGTATGAGGCGGACGTCTACCCGGCGGTGCGTTGCGAGTACCTGGAATACACCTTCTGAATTGCTCCCCTTCAATTTAAACTTCGAGTAACATCACAAAAGAACTTGGCAATTCGTTGTCATCCTGATTTAGTTAAGGCGCTCCCTAAAACCCTAAGCAACCAACCTCCTGCTAGCCCACAGGTTTCCTAAAACGAAACAGAAGAGAATACGCCCACGCAACATTAAATGATTTCCTTAATCTTAGAGCCCATCTTAAACCGTCCGGCGACATCACACACCAGCGAAATACTTGCTCACATTTCACTTTCTCCGCTCCCACTCTCCCCACTCGTTAACTCTTTCCCCCCACACGCACACACACACGCACACACACACGCACACACACGCACGCGCACCATTTCCGTCCTCCTGGCAAGCTTTGCAGGTGTTTGACTTTGCCTCCTGGACTCAGCACCGCTCCCGGGGCCGCTACTTGGAGCACTGCATCACGCTGTTCCGCTCGTATTTTTTCCGGGACTTGCTGGGCCCGCTGCTGGTGCTGGTGGGCGCGGCGATGACGGTGGCATCGTATGAGACGGCGCTGCAGGTCGGTAAGGGGAGAGGGCTTGGAGAGAGGGAGGCAGGGGCGGTAGGAGGCGGAGAAGGAGGTATTTGGTGCATTATAAAACACCGTTCGTCGTTTTATATGGATGGTGAACTAGTGCAACCCCCGCGCTGGGTAGTTCGGCGGTGGGATGCAGGGCAGGTGGGTGGGAGGTAGGTCCGGGATGGAGCGGGGGCGATGCATGCATGCTGTTTCCCTCTAAAACAGCGATACACGCGCATACACACATGCACACGTGCGCGCGCCACAGCATGATGCTGCTTACCCGGACATCCCCCTCGTTCGCACGCGCGCGCCTCTCCATCCTTCCCCTTTAGAAAGGTCCTTCCCCTCGTTTCTCAGGATTCTCTCTCACTCCCCCTCCTCATCCCCCGCCGCAGACGGGCCTGCTACCCCGCTGGCTCCCCGACTTTGGGGGCAGTTCTGACACGCCCTTCCAGCTGACCAGCTTTGCGCTGTCGCTGATGCTGGTCTTCCGAACCAACTCCAGCTACGCCCGCTGGCTGGATGCCCGGCAGCAGTGGGGCCTTATCGTCAACACGGCCAGGACGTTTGTGCGGCAGGTCATGACCACGTTGCCGGAGACCAGGTGGGGGCCGGGGGAAAGCTGCTGCTGGGGGCGGTGGTGGTGGTGTATGTGGGGGGCCCTGCGGTAGAGGGAGGGCGGGGGGGGGGATGGTGGAGGGGGGGGCCCGGGGAGTGAGAGAGAGAGAGAGGGGGGTGGCCGATGTGTGGCCCCACACAGTACCCCAGGGTTAGAGCTTCGTTATCCACACACGCACACACACACACACACTCATAACACATACACCCACAGTCACACACACCACGCAGCCACACACACCCTGAGACACACACCGGCACGCACACATCTCCCCTCCTGCCTTGCCCGGGTGTATGACCCCCACACGCTTGCTTGCCAGCCCACGCACAACCGCCGGCCCCGCTCCCATTACCCCTCAGCTGTTGCGAAGTGCGTTCCGCGTTGGCGCGCTGGACAGTGGCCTTTGTACGGCTGGGCAAGTTGCACCTTCGGGAACACGGCGACGTGGGGGCGGAGGTGCAGGTGGGGGGGGGGGTAGGGTAGGGGTGGGGGGAGTAGGGGGGGTTAAGGCAGGTCTGTGGGGGAGGTGCAGGTAGGGAGGGTGACTGGGGGTTTGGGACGCTGTAGGTTTTGGATTGAGAGGTCAGGAGGTAACGGAGGGACGGAGGGAAGGGCTGCTCTTTTGGCTTAGCTCTCACCCACCAACCCACTATTGGCAGCCTGAGCCGGCCTGACCTCCCCACGCCGCGCCTCCATCGCCACCACCACTAACACCACCACCATCACCGGGTAACTCTCCATGCCCTACCCTACCCACACCCACAACCCTACCAACAGCTCCCCCCCCCCACACACACACACACACCGAACCGCCATTTTATTGGGACCATCTGCCGCACCGGCATCTCCACACCTCCCGACCTCACACCGATCCCTCATCGAGAACTGCCTTCTCCGTGTCAGGGTCTGCTGGACGGCGAGGAGGTGCCTCTGGTGCTGGCCGCCTCCCACCGCCCCCTGGCGGCATGTCACGTGATGAGCGGACTGCTGAGGTCGGCAGAGGGGTCGGGGCAGCTGTCCGAGCAGGCCCGAATGAGGCTGGAAGCCGACATAAACCTTATGTCGCAGGCGCTGGGGGCGTGTGAAAAGGTGCGGGCTGGCGGGTAACTGGTGCGGGCTGGGGGGGGAATGGAGGGGGCGGATATGGACGGGGAAGAAAAGATAAGTGTGCAGGTGCGTTCAGATGTGCGTGTGTGTATGTGTGTGTGTGTGTGTGTGCGCACGAAATACGGGCTATTGAGATAAAAGGAGGGAACCGCGCTTTTTTAGACTCTCTCGAACTGTCAAAGGAGAGCACCCAACAGCTAACACCCCCAACGCCCTTCGCAACCCGCTGTGCCTCCGCCTCCACTTCCTCCGCCTCCACTTCCTCCGCCTCCATTTCCTCCGCCCCCAGCATTTCTCTCCTCCTGGACTCTATCCGTCTATCTATCCCTGGTACCACTACTGCTTCATCCGCAAGTGGCTCGTCTTACCCCCCCCCCCCCCGCCATCCACCCCACCCGCACGCAGATTCTCCGCAACCCCATTCCTCTGTCCTACACCCGCCACACCTCCCGCTTCCTCATCCTGTGGCTGCTGTGGCTGCCCCTGGCTCTGTGGGGCAAGGTGGGCTGGTGTGTGGTCCCCGTGGAGGCCGTGATGACCTACCTGCTGCTGGGCATCGACGAGATCGCCGTCCAGATGGAGGAGCCCTTCGGTGGGAGCGGCCTGGGCGGGGCGGGGCGGTCGGCGGTCGGCGTCTGCACGCTTCCGTGGGCGGTCCTTCCCTCCTAGGGGACTTCCGGGGGCTGTCTGCCGCCGTCACCCACCAGCACATGATGTGGCCGGCCTGGTCTCATGAGTAAATATGGGAACATATGAGCGTGAAGTGTACATGCAATGATATACATATGGAGTGAATACATACATGTATATGTATATATAAACAATACATGTTACATACATGTCATATGCACATGTATGTATGCATACCGCCCCCTCTGAGCAACTACCGTGGAGGACATCCCCCTCACCTCGCCCCCGCCGCCGCCGCCAGGCATCCTGCCGCTGGAAAACATGTGTGAGGCTGTACAACAATCCGTGGAGCAACTGAACAGCATGGACCATTCCGTACAGGACATCGTGGCATCGTACGCATGCACGATTGTACCGCCGTCTACGACGTACAAGGCACAGGCTGCTGCGGCTGCGGCTGCTGCTGCTGCCGCCCCGTCGTCCTCCTTCGCAACGGCAGAAGTCGGGGAGGGCGGAGGGCCGCACCAGACGCAACAACAGATGCAACAAGCGCAGCAGCAACCGCAGCAGCAGCAGCAGCAGCAGCAGCAGCAGCAGCTGTCATTGTGTCCGCAGGCGGGGGCATCTGCCAGGGGGCCGCAGATGCAGGTACAGACGGTGGAAAAGGCAGAGTCGCAGGTACACGGTGATGTACTGCAGGTGTTCCACATGCCAAGTGATCGGTGCTAGTGCAGCCTACTGGGCCCCCACCGCGGAGAGGGAGAGAAGCATTGGTTACTGCTCTCTGCGGTTTAACAAAGCAATCTGAGCCGGCGGGATAAAGGGGGGGGGAGGGGAAACCGGCGAGGATGGCTGAGCCCGAGCAGCGACTTCATTTTGCTGCGTTGCGGTTGTGTGGTCTTGGCAGTTGCGCGGCATGTAGCGGTTTGGCGGGTTGCGATAAGGCCCAATAAAGAAAGGTGCGATTTACTGATTGGTGATCTGTACTGGTGGTTCCGGCGCGACTTACTGCAATGGTTGGAAAAAATGTGATCACGCCGTTCGAAAACTTTATCAATAAAAGTAGTGAGCGAAGCATGATTGAATAAATAGAAATTGAATGTACGGAGAAGATAGATTGGGGGTAATATTATCATATTTTTAGCATAGGCTGCTGCGCTAGGGGGCAGCCCAGCTGGTTGGCTGTGTTGGCGGCTTCGAGAGGAGGAGGTGAGAGGGTGTGAGGGTCAGCAAGCACAAACACGGCGGAGGCTGGGAGACATCTTGATGACGACTTTCGCCTTTGGAGGATGAACTCTCCCCCCTTCCCCTCCGTTCTTTTCCATTGCGTATGTCCTATACCACACTTACTGCTCTCCCCCCGTTCCACGTTAGATATATGTGTGTATTTGGCATGGGAGCACTGAATAACATGGTGGCATGGATGGCACGGCATGGAGAGATATCTTAAGGTGATAATCGAGACGATCACGCCCGGGCATAAGGTGCACTTATGTCTTCGTGTGCGGCTACACATGTATGTATGTATCCACGTACGTCTGCGAGAGCTTGCGTGTCGTTTGTGTGTATGTAAGTGTGTATGTGTCTGCCTGCCTTGAATCGTTGTGCGTTGTCTGGTGGCCACGGACGGGCTCCTCCTTCTTCTGTGTTCTGTGACAGCCCAACAACAACTCATCATTCATCTCGCGGCAGCTAGACATGAACTGAATGACTTAACGTTTTTCGACAGGTAGGTGTGTGGTGACGTGCGACCGCTAACACGGTGCAACGCAGCTCCCCAGACACACAAACCCAATCCCATTCTCCCGCCCGCCCGCCCAGATCCACAAAGAACAAGACCCCCCCGAGAACAAAAAATGCGCCGTCGTGTCTTTCTTTTGAATGTGAACGAAGACAACCGCCTGGCGGCTGTGCTGATGACAAATATGTATGTGCGTGTGTGTGACAGATATGTATGTGTGACGTCGGTATGTCAATATGTCTCTTAAGTCAGGTATCACGTGTAGATGTGTGTGTGTGTGTGTGTGTTTACACCTTGGTTGCGTTACCCAGATGTTTAAGAGGTGTAACGAGCCCCCCCCCATACACGAGCCAGATAAAGGCCCAAGAGGTAAATGAAGATAGATGAAGGTTAATGACGCATAGTATAACGCAAAAAGATATTTTTAGTTCCCAAGCATTACACATAAATGAAACAAGGACACTACTAGTCGACTGTGTATCCGGGGGCATGCATCCATCGCCATGGTACACTGCACGAGTACGTCAAACCGTGGCAGTCCGGTACAGCCTCCGTGTTACGGGGGCCAAGTCACGTGTGATGGTCGGGTCAGGTCGGGTCGCGGTGTCAGGTTAGCTCGGCATCAGCGTATAAGCACCTGCGCCCTTTATTACGTAGCGCCTGGCAGTCCCCGGGCGGCGGCGGGGGCGGCGGCGGCGGCGGCCAATACGTCTATAGCCAGCCGCAGGGTCGAGCGTGATCAGGAGTCATCAGAAGGAAGATTAGCGGTGGCTGCGATGGCTGTTTATTCGGACGCTCTCATTTTCCCGGTAAAGCAGCAGCAACAACAACAACAATCGTCAACATCGCCTTATTACAGCGAGAATACAATGTATATTATATACGCCATTTTCACGGAAGGGACGCACACCACCATTGTTCGACGTCGCCGCTGCCGCATCCTCGTTCTGTTCGATGGTTGGGTGCGTGTGTGCCTGTGTGTGTATGTATGTGTGTGTGCATGCATGCTTGTGTTGAGGGCCCCTACGCTGTGCAGTAACGGAAACAGCTGATCAGTAGCTGCAGGGCTGTTTACTCCGCTGTACGTGAAACCGCCGTCAAGAGATCAACACATCGACACATGCTCCGACCGCAGCATCACACTTGCCCCAGTAATGGTTCCTGCTGCTGCTGCTGCTGCTGCTGGTATCCGCCTGTCAAGGCAGCACCGGCGCCGCGCCGCGGCTGCACAACCCAATCTGCCAGTCGCCGCCGCGGCACCGCCACCAGCAGCGCCAGCAGCGCTGCCGCCAGCCCCACATTGACCCACTCCAGCAGCCAGCCGACAGCGACGTACGGCGTACGGACGCGGGGTTGCAGCGGGAGCGTGAGGGTGAGCAGATCTCTGGTTCCCGTGAGGAGGTACTGCCGGGCGGCGCCGTGGGGCGATACGACCCCACTGACGCCGTCGCTGCTGCACCTGCGTCAATCATCAGGTTGGGGAATATTGCCAAGGGGGGACAGGTGGTGGTAGCGGCAGGGCAAGAGAGGAGGGAAGAAGGGGCGAGTTTGTTACGTGCCTGGAGACGGGACAGCAGCGGTATGGGACAACGGTCCCGTACCACTAGAAGAGCTGCACGAGTTGAGTTCTCTCTTCCCCCCGCCCCCGAGCCCTCATCACCATTTTCTTCCCCGGCCCCTCTTACCCCTCACCCCGGGTTCCTTAACCATTAAATAAAACACCCACCCACACACACACACATTCCCCCACATGTACACACACGCGCGCGCACACGCCTAATGATGACCGTTACGGCTCTTGGTACTTAGGGTTTTGACGTGCCAAGTAAGCCCAGGTTGGAATCTATGGTATAAGTTATGTATATACAGTTCCGCGCACGATTGCGGGGACTGTCCGTATAAGCCTGAGGGGCGGCCATGGACGACTAAGCCCTACGGGTGCTCGTCGGATTATGCCGCCGACCTAACGAACCCGACCTGAATGTCGTGAAGCCGTTCTCAACGGCACGCAGCGCATCTGAAGCGAAGTGACGGGGGCCCACTGCACCCCACGTCCAAGACGGCTGCAGCAGCAAATCGACACCCGCCACGCCCGCCTGCCGTACGAACTGCGGCCGGTCCATGTCGAAGCAGATGGCTCCGCCAAGCGTGCCGTACGGACTAGCCGCGGTGGGCAGATGCCGAGGACCTGCCGCCGGCGCCGCCGCCGTGTGCGTGAGCCCCCCAGGCCCGAGGGAGGGAATTGGCGAATGGCGACGAGGTTGGCGGTTGGCGATAGGTTATTAGGTAGTTGTCGGGTTGACAGTTGGGCACGTGCTGTTGAATATGGGTTGCGTATGGCGTATTTTGGGGGCTGATGTAGCTGATGTGCAGCACTGTCACTGGCTTTACAAGTACTCGAGCCTAAACAAGCCACTGAAGCTTGGTGCATAGCCCAACCCGCCTATAACCCCATGCGCGAAAAACCAAAACCCTCACTGCCAGCCCTTCGCCAAACTCCCCCTCACAGCCAGCCCTTCGCCACCTGTTTCCCTCCCACCTCGCGCGGCCCACCCTGCCCCGCACCCATAGACCTCCTCCCGCCCCCTTTAGTGAG